TCTCTCTCTCTCTCTCTCTCTCTCTCTCTCTCTCTCTCTCTCTCTCTGTCCTTGTCCTTGTCCTGAGCACGGCTATGAATTCGTCAGACGTACCGCCGAATCACAACTGTGGGACTTCATCACCCTGCATCTGCTTTACCTCATAAAACACATTAGAAAAGTAGGAAGTCAGATGCAAACGAGGGAATGAAATAGTCTATTGAGAGTCCCTGATCTACGCACAGTAATATGAAAACGGAGCTCTGACAGGGTTTCTCAATATGCTTTGTTTCAAACATCCCTATGAGGAGACTCTCACATACACTATATTGATAGTTTAAATGCCAACAGGAAGGCATGGACCTCTAAATCACAAAAGAGGCTCATGTTCCTGCTGTTGGGTAACAGCATCAGTCACTGATCCATCTTCAGTGCCAGTAACTTCTTCCCTCTGACAGCAGAGGAAGTGTCGGCGTTACTCAGCCTTACAATAACAGTGATTGAGGTTTAACTAGTTCACTAACGGCATGTTGGTGTATATAAATATATTAGTCCAGTGCTTGCGACAGTCGTATTTCGACAGTCGTAACCAAATAATTATTCAAATATTCTCGTTTTTATATTTGGAGAAAGTAGTATTTTACAAGAAAAACAGCAAAAATGTCGTTAAATCACCATTTTTTTTTTTGTAATCCCAAAATAGTTTTTTGTTGTTCCGCTCATCATCCATCAACCTGTGACTTAGGGACTCATTTGTGGAGTCCTGAGAGTGGAGAATGTAATCGCACATTGTCGATACTTTTACTTAAAGGTATAATATACAACCATTTCCAGGAAAACAATGTATACTCTGATCCAAAAAGAATCCCTCTCTATCGTCACGTGTGTGGTGGGGTCTGCAAAGACCCCGCCCTCTGCCTGTATCTTCCTTTTTTTATTCATCTTTGCCAGGCAGAACAAAAAATGGTTACCACACCTGGAAGTATCAGATCAGAATTGTATTCAAAATTGAAACTGCAAGCTGTTTTTTCTCCTTCCTGAATTCTCTGTAATCATACAGTCACAGAGTCCAATGAGTCAGTATAGTAAGTGTACAAGGCATATAGAAGATGAGAAACGTTTGCTGAAAGCTCATGTTGTATTTTCTCTCTTGCATTTGCGATGCAAATTTGTAGTCGTTTATCTCTCATAACAAATAGCCAAATTACAGATGTTACAATGTATTTACATTTTAAGTCCCACTGTAGAAAAATGTGTCTTTTTACTCTACTACACAAAGAAAACAGATTCAGTGCTTTGGAATGAAAGTATTCGTTAATGCACTATTCTATGGGAACTAATCACAATTCAGATATAAAAAAGCAGATCCAAACTACCCAAAATTCCAGAGAATTATTAAACAAATGGATACACAGATTTATTTATGACCAAAATTCCATGTCACATGTAAGAAAAGCCCGAACCAACAACATCACACCTAAAGAATAGCAGGCCACTCTTCCCAGTATTGGTCCCTTGGCTGGTCAGGAGGTGGTGGTGAACCATCTTTTCACTTCCCCGTCATAAAAAGCAGAAGCGGTAGAGTGATGTAAGCACTTTCGGGGCCGACATGCTGCACATGTTTAACCCCGACACCCCCTGACCTTTCAGACTTTGTTGTTCGCTTTGTGTTCAGGAGGCACTTGACTCATTTTTGGTAAACGTTTCAACTTTTGTCCTTCCATTTCCCCCCCCTGTATGAAAAGTCAAAGGGGTGAACAATGTTGTAATGCATGCCGTGTGGGTGGAGCACGGGTGAAAGATCCTCTTCAGTATCAGTATATGTCCATGAATGTTCATGTTCACATAACAGATTACAGAGGTGATCAGTGTTGAGTTGTGACAGTAGGGCTGCAGCAAATCATTATTTCCATTATAGATTCATCTGACAGTTGTTTTCGCAATTAATTCGACTGAACTCAATTACACGTTTTGTCAATAAATTGTAAGAAAATAGTAAAAAAATGCCAAATTTCCCAGCTCAAAGTGACATTCAAATTGCTCATTTCATCTGAATAACAGTCGGAAATTAAAATATGTTCAGTTTACTTTTATATATGCCAAAAAAGGCATCTAATCCTCACATGAATAAATCAGGAACAAGCGAGTATTTGGAATTTTTGCTAAAAGTATTACTGAAATAATAATCTATTAAGTGACAAAGCATTTCAGCTCTGTAGTTTTCAGTACATTTGATGGGATGATTTATAAAAACTTCTACAAAGTACTACGAGCAGCGATCCTATACATGGACATGAGCACAGACTGTCTCGAGACGAAGCTCACCATGGACAGCTGAAACTGAGACAGAAGAAACCGATATGAAGATAATTATGTGTACATTAGGAGTACTGGTGAGTCAGCCGTGACCTAGGCTCCAGTCTCTCTGTAATGAAGTATGTGTGTGCAGCATGTCTCACAGGAATTCCCTGGAACAAACTGAATGAAGGGTACAAATGACGCATCCATCAGTACACAGCATGTTTCCTGATGTTGCCAAATCATTTTTGCTCTTTTAAGTCTAGTAAACATGAAACTAGAGAAAAGGGCAAACGTCAATTTAGTACATGAAAAGTGTTCAAAAACATCACAGCTTTACGATATGTTGTGGAGAAGCAAAACAAGACCACAACTTGTTTTTACATATGTGAGAAATGTGAACATATTTGATCCAAGAAAAAAAGGGAGTTACATGAAAAAGGTGAGCAGACCGCAATACATGTATTTCCTAAAAGGGCCACTGGGTAAAGCTGATCGATCATTGCAGAACAACATACTACTGCTACACAAACATATGATCCTTTTTTCAGACTTTCCTTTAATCTGAGCTTTTATTACTCAATTTATACTGGATATATTAGTACTCTGCCCTGTCTCTCGGAATGTAATGCAATAAAACGACAAACAAAAATCTGCAAAAAACAAATGTCTTTGGCTGCATATTGGTCTCAACCCAAATATGTAATTGGTGAGGAAGGCACTGTTAGGTTTTAAGGGGTCACAAGCCAAAGAGTTTCGGGAAGTTAAGCCCCAGTTTAAATCTTAGAATGGATGAAATTGTATTCATGTTTCATTAAAAATAATATAATTTGTTATAATTAAAGCACATATAGCATGGTTAAAAAAAAAAACACATATTGTAGTCATTTTGAAATCAAACACTAGCTGAACTGCAAATGGAGAAGTTACCCTCTGCCTTCTTTTATGATAACTTTCCCCCACAAAAACTGAAAAGTCATACCTATTATTAACTTAAACCTCAAAACAATGAATGTATTCATTCAGAACAAGAACAAAGAAATCAGGAAAATTTGAAAGGATCTGGTAAATCCCCTTTAAGACAACTACCCATTTAGACTGAATCCACATGCTTTATTATAACAGTTTATCATATGACATCACCCACATGAATAATTACATTCCCAACTTGTTCCCATGAGTCCACCATGCCCACATTTGTTGACCATGTTAATTGATGGGCGCAGAGAAACAGCAACTTGGACAGATGGCATTGATCTGCATTCCACTTACTATGCAAGTGCTACGTTTGAGAATACAATTGAGTTAAGGTGGACGCAAAACATTGTAAACGTAATCGTTCAATGTCTTTTTCTAGCCACTAGATGGCAACATTGCACCAAATACTGTGACTATATGTTTTCAGCTCCACAGGTCTTTGAGTCCCCTGAAGTAGAAATGGGAAAGGTCATGATCGGGAAGCACCACAGATGTGTTGCACAGAAAATGGTATTTGAACGATGGTTTATCACAATGTGTTATAAGTGCAAACTATTTCTCACTGTTTGCCCATCATTTCATCTTCAAATCTGCATTTCTCATTCAGTTTAGTAGCGATGGAATATCTCCTCGCATGTCTTAGGTTTTAAGTATGCACGCTCATGATAACATTGGTTTTTTTTTTACTAAGGCATCAAGGAAATTGATGTGGTATTCTGCTTGTCTCTTGTCTCCATGTTTAAATGGTAAACTTCTATATCTGTCTTCTTTTATGTCGACTAGAGAGCATATTGGTAGACATAAGGGCCATTGTCGTAAGCATATGCCAGATTTCTTTACAACTAGTCATTTTTATGAGTCTTCAATTCAATCAGGCCATTATTATCATCAGCCCAACCTTTTGATTTACGAGAACATCTGGTGGTTGTACAAGAGCGCCTACACAACTCCTTTCTGATCACTTACTTCAAAATGTCTATTAGAGTTATTACGCATTTTATATTATTTTTTAAATAGACTTCCCATATGTGCACACTTGAGTGGAATTCATACACACACACACACACACACACACACACACACACACACACACACACCTTTACATCGTTTACATGGCGTGCGCATTCCTGCCTGCGCGTAATGGCCGGAGATATGTTGCAAACATGGCTGGATCATCG